TAAATTGTTAAAAACAACTTTATAAGCCGTTATAAAATGTAAGTGCCATCTTTTCGTGTGCTCTTGGCTATGTGTATGTCTTCTTTGGAAACATGTCTATTCAGATCCTCTGCCCATTTTTCAATTGAATTGTTTCTTTTTATTATTGAATAGTAGGACTTCTTTCTATACTTTGGATATTAACCCCTTCTCAAATATATGATTTGCAAATATCTTCTCCTGTTTCATTTTGTTAATGGTTTCTTTCGCTGTGTAAAAGCTTTTTAGTTTGATGTAATTCCATTTGCTCATTTTTGCATTTGGAGTGAAATCTTAGAAAACATTGCTAAGATCAATGTCAGAGAGCTTATCACATGGGTTTTTGCATCCCACCAATCACCAATGTACCCTCTTTGGGGTCTGTATCACATTAGTTGAGAATGCATGCTCTAATATATTGGAATCTACCCAAGGGATAGGCCTAGGTTTTATCATTTTTATAATGACCTTTCAAAATGCAGCACTCAGAAGGAAGCAATTCTATCCCGTGGCAAGTATTTGCTGATTGCATATTCTGAGCTGAGCAATGTTTTAGAAACTGAAACTACTTCGGACAAAAACCCTACCCCTCAGGAAGCTTACCTTCTAAAACAGTCTGTCTAGATAAAATTGCTTTCATTCGAACTAAGGAGCACCAGCCAGTAAAAGTGCTCTGGCAGGAGAGAGCCTTGGGACCTGCTGACTGAAATAGGACTTGACATTTCTTCCAGCTTGAAAATGTGCTGACGGAATTAGAAACCTGTTCATGCTGATGGAGCAGGAAATTCAGAGGAGCATGAAATAGTACTCTCTTCAAAGCAATGTAATCCCCATTCCCAGCCCCCTCCCACAAGGCCCAGCAGGACATTCCACATCGCTAGGATCTTCGGGATGTCCCATGCTTTGCCCAGCACAGTGGGAAGGCTCCTGGGCCCACCAGTCACTGCCTCTCATTGGCGATGGCTAAGAGAATTGTGGTCAGACCCATGTGGTCCTCTCTGCTATTCCTGGGGAAGGGAAACTTTGGACTGTCTGAAGCCCACTTCTCTCTGAGGTCCTAACCCCTCCTGGGGACACGGGGTGGGAATCACAGACCTCCTGTCCACCCCCAGCTGGGAAAAGTCTCCTCTTCTCTTTCTTGCCTCTCTTTCCAGCACACCTGGCAACCAGAGTTACCTTGTACAATAGGTAAAACTGACCGCCCCCACTCTCACCCCCCCACCTTTTCTCTCTCTCTCTCTCTCTCTCACACACACACACACACACACACACACACACACACACACACTACACACACTGCTTTCAGGCTGCTTTGCTCTCAAAATCTCTAAGCTGTGTGATTACAAAGCCTGGAATCTGTTTGAAATGGTAATGAAAAGGGCCTAGGTTTGGCATGAGTGATGTGAAGAAGGAAACAAATTAATATTTCAGTCTATTGTCCTGCCACTCTAAAATCACTTGTAATCTATACTCACTTTACAGAAAATTGTCCATTTGAAATACTCAAGCAGTCAGTCTGGGCCAGATAAAGAATAAAGAGGAAATGCCATAATGCTTGGACTATCCCAGAGAGATATTTTCCATTTCTAACCCTCTGCCCTTGTCCTCAGGCCCTCTCTCCCCAATTGACCTTACAGAGACCACCCTGAATTAGCCTCAGAAGATAATGTGATTTGCCATGTGTTTGTGAAACTCCTATGTGCAGGCCTGGGGGAGGCACTGGTGGTGCCCTGCCCTTACCAAGATAGCAGTGGGATCCTATCTCCCACTTTTATCCCAAAGGCATGTTATAGACTTGGGGAGCATTCATTGGACAGTGCTGGCTCTGTCCAAACCCAGCCACCCAGCTGCTAGAATTCGAATGCTTGCCTTTAAGAATATTGAAGTTTTACCATTAGTGGGGAGTGGGGGGAGATGGTCTATTTCTTTCTAATTTCTTTAGAAATAACTGTAGATCTTCTAAATTCATCTTACTGGGAGGGGAGTTTTGCTTCAAAATTGACTTAAAACACCTATCCACAGCTTTAAAAAAATCTTTATTGTTGAAATTATTACATATGCCCCCCTTTTTCCCCCATTCACCCCTTCTAGCCCACACCCTTCTCCCCCTCCTCCACCTCAGGCCTTTGCCACACTATTGTCCATGTCCAAGGGTTATGCATATATGCCTACAATTTCTTTGGTTGATCTCTTCCCACCCACCCACCCTCTCCTTCCCTCAGAGATTTGACAGTCCACTCCATGCTTCTAGGTCTCTGGAACTATTTTGTTCCAGTTTATTTTGTTCTCAGTTTATTTTGTTCATTAGATTCCACATATGACAGAGATCATGTGATACTTGGCTTTCTCTGACTGGCTTATTTTGCTTAGCACAATGTTCCTCAGGTCCTCAGGCAGTTAAAAGGTGAAATGGTTTCAATGAGGCTGTTCTCAAGCTGTTTTGATGGGTATCAAATCCAGTCTGATAGTTACAGAGCTGTAAAGGAGACTCCAATGTGGACATCAATTGACTATTCTAATCTGCTTTGTGTTATATTCTCGAAATAGAGGCCAATAAAAAGAACCCACGCTGATACGCCTTTCCCATCACATATCTTTGGGCAGAATTAAGGACGGGGAGGGAAACTGGAAAAATGAAGTGACAATGAATAATAATAGAAAGAAACTATAGGTAGAAGAAATGATAGATTCATCAAGTTTGTAGTGAATTTTCTAACAAGTCAGGTATTTAAGCAAAGGGAAGTTACTATTGCAAAGGAGTTAATTGACTGATGAGATGAATGTTTCTCAAACTTTAGTCATTCTGGTACCTCCCTTGTTGTTCCCATTTGGCTGTGTGCCACCTGTGATACAGTCTCAGAGGCCAGAACTGAAAGGGAATTAATGTTTTTGTGTCTCTCCATGACTCACAGTATACAATTACAGTCGGCCTTTTATATCTGTGGATTCTGCATTTGCAGATTCAATTTTCCATGGATCAAAAGTATGTGGGAAAATGCTACATTGTTACTGACATGTACTGTGTAGTTATGCTTACCATGATTGGGTCAGATTGAACAGGTACAGACTTTTTCTTGCCACTATTCCCTAAGCATAACAACTATTAGAGTCTAACAACTATTTATATAGCATTTATTGTATCAGGCTTTATAAGAAATCTGGAAATGGCTTAAAGTATACAGAAGGATGAGCATAGATTATATGCAAATACTATTCCATTTTTATAAGGGAGTTGAGTGTAGATTTTGGTATCCATGGAAGGCAGGGGTTCCTGTAAACAGTCCCCTACAGATACCAAGAGACTACTATATGCACAAATAGGCTTTCCAGAAATAGCTTTTCATTTTCTCTCCTTTTTTATATATATTTTATTGATTTTTACAGAGAGGAAGAGAGAGGGGTAGAGAGTTAGAAACATGGATGGGAGAGAAACATTAATCAGCTGCCTCCTACACACACCCTATTGGGGATGTGCCCACAACCAAGGTACATGCCTTTGACCAAAATCAAACCTGGGACCTTTCAGTCCACAGGCCAACATTCTATCCACTGAGTCAAACTGGTTTTTGCTCATCTTCTCTTTTTGTTGCGGATTCTACCTGCTGCTGGTGTGATGTGAACATGCCGTTCAGCCGGTGGCCTCTCACACTGGCTTTGAATGCTCAGTCTGGGGCCCTCTTGGCAGAGTTGTCCCCACAAGAACTCAAAATAGAAATGTACAGATGGCATGCTATCCAGGAAAGAACAATGTTACCTGAGAGATGTGTTCCCAGCTACACACTGGACTGCTGTTATGAAGGGGAGAGGGGGAAAGTGCCCATTTTCTGCTTGTCCATTCCCTTCACCCCCCACCCCACATGGTGTCTGTGCTGAATGTGATGAGGTACAGAGCGCATGGCAGTGCCAGGTAGATTCTGGTAAGAAACTGCAGGGGTGTGAGCAGAGTGAGTGAAATGGGCTGAAGCATGGTTCGGGCAGGTGGCTGCTGCTTAAGTCTAGCTGACGGTAGAAGACAGGCTCAGACTTGCTGGGAATTTCATTTTTGTATGAGTAGCTGAACACCTGGAATTTTTTTATTCAAATAATTCAATTTTCTAATGTCATTATGTCAAAATAGGGGGATAAATTTTTAAAGCACATAGGTATGTATTGTGTATCTGTGTATATGCTTTTTAAAAAAATATATTTTATTGATTTTGTACAGAGAGGAAGGGAGAGAGATAGAGAGCTAGAAACACTGATGAGAGAGAGTCATCAATCACTGCCTCTTGTACACCCCCTACTGGGGATATGCACGCAACCAAGATACATGCCCTTGACCGGAATCGAACCCGGGTCCCTTCAGTCCCCGAGCCGACACTCTATCCATTGAGCCAAACGGGTTTTGGCTCTGTGCGTATGCTTTATTTTCTTAAATTGAGTCTTCAGCTTGTATACTTTTGTCTATACTTTAATATTTCTAGAACAAGCTATTAGGAAAAATGTCAATAACTAATTTGACTTCCTAAATGTGTTGTGAGCCAAATACACCCTGTCTGTAGGCTGGATTTGACCAACAGACTGCCAGTTTGTGATTTCTGCATAGAGTTTTAGAAAAAAATGATCTTTGATTTTAACTTAGAGAACCATCCTCTTCTCTCTTCTCATTCACTGCCTTCCTCCATTTTTTTCTGCACTGCCTAGCAAAAAGGACTCCCCTTCGTCTAGGCAAGTGAATGACGGGGTTGGGGGGGGATGGGGACATTACAGATTGCTCAGAATAAAATTCTTTTAGAATAAGTGAGCAAAAAGGACAGTATGCATAATTGCATTGAACAATGCCTCCTGGTATTTTATGTATTTGTTTGATCCAAACTCCCTCCTCATTCTACTCTCTCTTTTAAAAAAAGGAGGGCAATAGCTTTGTTTTAATATGAAAGCCTGAGATATTTTGAAAGTTTGACTAACTGCATTTTCATGTTGTCTCTGTGCCTCTATTTTAGGATGGAATGGGAAACTTGAGAATCACAGAAAAAGGTCTAAAGTTAGAAGGAGACTCAGAATTCTTGCAACCTCTCTACGCCAAAGAAATCCAGTCCCGACCGGTAAGTTTCTGCTGAGAGAAGGAATTATTGTTCCTTGGGAATCAAAATCTGGGGAAATCTATCTTGCCATCATCTGAGTATAAAGAGTGGCATAAGGGGTGATGACACAGGTAATGAGATGCATTTGAGTCTAAAGTCTTGAGTGTAATCACAGCTCAATTAAAGAACTGAAGTTTGGAAAGGTAGTATGTCCAAAGCCACATAGTCCTGAAGTAGCAGAGCAAGGATTTCCACTCAGAAATATATTCTAAGCTTTTCTGTTAGCCAGTCTTATTCCTATACTTTTTCTCTCTTTCTTCCTCTTTTGCCATGATAGAAGTGATTCCTAGATATCTAGCTTTTATTAACTAATATTATCAAAATTAACTTTTGTTTAGGAGTGGCTTTTCTGGTTGTTTTGTTTCTCTGGTTTTTATTTTTTGTTTTCTGGTGGGTGGTGGAATTTGCTGGTTGGACGGGATTATTAATACATTTGCATTGCCTGGATTGATCCGCAGCCACCTGCAAGCAAAGAGCAGCAGGAAAGTTCCCCAAAGTGTCACTTGTTTCATGTGCATTGATTAGGGTAATTCATGAAATTCAGCACCTTGATGCAGTGGGTAATTATATCTCAATGCTATCTAAGCTACTGAGTTGTACTAAACTTTGTGCAATTGTTGAATTGCCAACAAATGTATTTCCTTGTGTGCTTAGTGAAAGAGAGGAAGCCATGATGTTAAAATCATCAAAAAGAACAAATCAGTTTATCTACACAATGATTATAAAATGTAACTGGAACTTACAGTACACTGGCTTATACTCTTAAAGTACCAAGTGTATTGTAAACATGTCCATTGTCTTTGAGGAAACTATATCCTGGAAGGAGTAATGGAATGGAACTATAACAAAGTGGTTTGGGTGATGATTCTGCTAACAATTTTATTGTATTTTTCCAGCCATCTGCCATGAGTATACAGGGTGTCCCTTAAAAAGGTATATACACTTTAATAGCTGATAGCTCAATTTTGAAAATGAAATGTATTTTAATAAACACTGCCTTTATAATTATTAGAGACCCCCCAATAATTAACAAAGACATACATTTCATGCTATTCTGTATTTTTTTCCTCTATATACTATATTAACAGTAAAAAATTGTATAGCTAAATAATATTTAAAAGTTTAAGAGCTTTTTTTAAGGTATGACTGATGAAGAATAAACTGTACATATTTAAGAACAAACTATACATATGCAATTTGATAAATATTCACATATGTATATACTTGTGACACCATCACCACAATCAAGATAATGAATGTGTGTCACCCCTAAGAGTTCCTCCATGACTTCATCCTGCAGCACCCTCCCTACTTCCCCAGCCCCTCCTCAAGCAACCACCATCTACTTTGTCTTTTACATTCTCTTGCATTTCTTAGAACTTCATATAAATTAAGTCAGACAGTTTTAAAACCTAAATAATTTTAAGGATAAATTGTGTATGGCATTTTATAAAGATCATTTTAAACCATTTATTTATTATCCAACTTAAAAAAGAATAAGATTGTTTTTGCCTGTGATTGGGCTGCGTCTTGGCTTGGATGGGAAGAGAGATTAGAAGTAGATTAGGGCATAGAACTTGACAGTTTTTCTTTTGGATGACCACAGAGACAGAAATAGAGGATAACATATTAGGCATGACAACAACGGTAGCATTAGTCTTCTTTTGAATTGTCACAAAAAGTGAAAATATATACCATATGTTTCTGTGTATAAGATGCTATTTTTTTTCTAAAATGATTAGACTGAAAATAAAGGGGTATCTTATACACGGAAGCCAGACAAGGAGGGAGCCTCAGGGTGTGTAGCTACCCATACCTTGTCGAACAGGCTTCCTTAATCATGAGCCTCACTGTTAATAACATCAGCTGATGCCGTAATTGGAAGTTGAGGTGGAGAGTATGTAGATGCAACAGAAACCGGAGCATTCTGAGCCCATAAAGATGTCAAAAAATAAAAGATAAATACCAGTAAAATAAATACCTGCAAAATTCAAGCTGAATGTAATCAACTATGCAAAAGATCATGGAAATAGAGCTGCAGAGAGATAACTTGGACCTCCTCTCACTAAGTGTATGATCAGACAGTGGAGAGAACAGGAAGAACAACTTCTTAAGATGCCAGAAAAGAAGACCTTAAGAGGCAAACCAGCAAAATGTGCAAATTACTTGGAGCAGAAGGGCTTAAGACTTGGATTATGGAGCAGCGCCAGAGTGGATTATGTGTGTCAACCAAGCTTATTCAATGTCAGGCAAGAATATTTGCAAGCAAAATAAACATTGTTGATTTTACAGGAAAGGCAAAATGGTGCTTCAATTTCATGAGGAGAAAAGAGTTGGCCATGAGAACACAAAGTTAGCTCAGAAAATGCCACCAGTTTGAGGATGATCTCACATATATAAACAGTGACTCAAAAGATAGTAGTGATACAATAGAACTTGAAGAAATTGATATTTCTGGAACTAATAGTGATGAAGAAGAGAGCAGTGATGCAACAGAGGCTGAATAAAATGGTATGCTGCATAATATCATAGTACTGTTATGTAAACATTACCTGTGGTGTAACAACCGAACAACTGGTTGCTATGACATGCGCTGACCACCAGGGGAGGGTGTTGGTTTCAATCGCATGGTGGAGCAGGTGAGCAGGGGTGCCAGACCAAGGTGGGGAGCTGCCTGGTGCTAGCTCTGATTGCTTGGTGCTGTCAATGGATGCGAGTGGTGGCTGCCAACCCCAAACACCCCTCAGGGTTTTTCCACCTCACCCTGCTCCTAAGGGGTGAGCAGGCAGCAGCTGCTGCTTGCATCTGCCACTGCCACCAGCATCGTCGGCAGGTGGTGGGAGTGGCAGTGGCAGGAGCAAGAGCAAGCTGCCAGCAGACAGGGGATAGAAGGCAGTGGTGGGAAGGGCCAGGTGGGAGCACAGAGGATGAGCTGAGACCTATCCCTGTGCTCACCACAGCCTCATGGCCCACAGTTCCTTTCAAAGTGCACGAATTTGTGCATTGGGCCCCTAGTTACTAAATAAAACTGTGTTCTGTTTGATGTTTAAAATATATGATTTTTTTAATTTGGGGTTGGAAAAGTGGAGGGCATCTTACACATGGAAATATATGTTATGTTGGATCAGAAGAGCAAAAGAATAAACTAGAAGCTGGTGATTTAGTGTATAGGGCTTCTCTTACCTCAAACACAGAGACAATTGCCACCTTAGCAAAATTTGGGTCCTGGTCTTGGAAATGACTGTTGGGCAAGCAGTCAATAGACTTTGCCATACTTAACAATCATAGCCTCACACAATGCTTATGTGAACGTCACACACAGCAGCTTTTCATTCTCTACCTGGCATCAGTAGCTTATTGTTTCTTTCTGACATTCCTGACTGTTGCTTACAGACTGACTGCCTCTGGAAGACTCTTCATTGTCGAATGAACTGCAGAATCATTTCTCCATAGGTCATAGCTGCTTCTATTTTATGGGGTACCGCCTGCTTTTCCCAGTGCCCTCAACCCCTCTAAGTGAGGATAGCTAGTGAAGCAACACTTGACTTCATTTTGGTTTTGTGTTTCATTGATCTGAGATGAATTAGATTGGGTAAGCAATCCCTGCAATGTTCAATACTGTATCTGATTTCATTATTGAAGGTTGCAACCCTGGTAAAGTCACAACACATTGATTTGGCTGGTAGTAATCACTTTGGAAGATAAGTTGATAAGAAAGTGTTTATCTCTATAAAAACTTACATCTGTGAGTTGAAAGAAAGCCTCGGGACTTCATGCCACTCAGAAATTATATTGAAGAGGACACAGACTAAATGAACTATTCTACCATCACATCCAAAGACCAGCTCTAAGATGGAAACTGGAAACAACAGTGGATAATACCAGACGGAGCTTAATCATGTCTGGTCCAATCACTGAGAGGATATCTCTCCTTCACAGATTCATTGTGAGGGTTAAATGAAGTCGTCTGTGACCCTCCTTATGAGCTATTGAGTGAACTATTAATATGAAGGCTTACCTCAGAAGTATAGTTAATTCACAGTGTTTTCCTTTTAATATGGATTTGTTTCTGATATTTAAATACCTGGAGATTTGACATTTTTATAAAAATCTACCTTTTCTGAGTCTCATGAAAAAATCAGAAACCCTGGCAAAGTGGTTTGATCTTCCTAAAGAAGAGCTGAGGAGCAGCTGCCTCATCTGGAGAGGCATCTGTTATGCAGTTTGGCACGGTCTCCCCAGTCACTATTGTCTCCGTCTCAACCTCTTCACTCGTTTCTGTAATGAGCCCCTGAGGAACCCTGGGGATGCGGCTTCTGGTTGGTGAGAATGAGAATGTATGTATCTCATCATGCGGAAGTCCAGAAATTAGGTTGACTTCTTAGGACTCTAGTCACTTGTGACTCCCTGTTCCTCCCTTCTTGTTTCCCTCTCCTGTGCCTCCATTTCTCCTCATGGTCTGGCTCCTATGGGTTTGAAATAGCAGCAAGCTCAGTGACAACAAAACAGACCATGGATGGGAAGGAGGCAGACAGGTAACAGAAGATGAAACTGGATTTGGCTTGCTTGCTCTGCCTGACGGAAGAAAGAAAAAAGAAAGGGAATATGGGATGGCAGACAAGCATAAGCTTTGCCTGAAGAGGCTCCACTGGTGATGATTTAGTTGCCATGTGTAAAGCCCTGTCTCTCTGGTTAGTTCAGAAACCAAATGAAGGCTGCGGTGGCTTCTCCCCAGTAAGCAAAACAGCTTCAACTCCCAGCTGAACACATTGCACACAAAACAGTATTTTCCGTGCCACTTGCATGGAACATGAACATCTTGCTGTCTTTAATTAAGAAGTTAACTGGACCGTGAAGTATTGCCTGAGTAAATAAAAGTGATTTGTACTAAGTCAGAGGGGTGCAGTAGGCATCTTTGCCTTCCTTTGCTCACACATAAATTATAGAGATTATTAAAAATT